AAAAAAAAAAAAAAAAAACCTTGAAGAGTCGAAGCTCCGACCCTCTGACAGGCACTTGCAAATTTTGGGAGCAGATCAACAGCAGTTCCATGCACACTTTAAGCGGAAGGGCCCCGGTCAGGGCCCCCTGCAACTTTGGCAGGAAGTGATGTCGATTAGGTCTCTTCTGGTTTCATGACGGCTCCTCGCCTGCGGCATCGCCATCCGTCTTGACTTTCACCTCCTCCTCCGGGCCTCCCTCCTCTCCCTCTGATGCGCCGGCCGCTACCAGCTTCGGCGAATTGTAGTCGGCCCAGATCTTGGATAGAGCTCCCAAGACCAAGCCCACGACAAAGATGGGAAGGAGGATGCTGAACAAGGAGACGACGACGGTGTTGTCGGACGTCGCCCCGGAAAAGGGACTCACGGCCATGAGCTGGCGGCCGTGGGTCACGAAGAACAGGATCAGGCCCACCAATAGGAAGATGTAGTTCATGATCATCATGGGCCCTCCGATCATTAGCCATGCCACCAGCGCCCTCCCGGTAGAGTCCTTGCAGGAGTACAGTGCTTTCAACAAAGACCTTAACCACCCAAAGGCTGCAACCCAATCCGGCTGGAGGCCCACGCGAGCGCAAAGTCCAGAACCGCAGAACCCTGTCGCCAGTAAAGATCATATATATATATATATNNTATGGGCCTTAGTGATTAGAATAGGGTTTTGGGGCCCAATAGACTATAGTTTTAATAAGGTACCCCCCCTCCCCCCCCAAAAAAATAGTGTTAATCATTATTTAGGCTCCCACATTATGGCCGTGATCTTTATCTTTCCACAATATTTCAAGTACCTGCGCCATAGCACATAGATAGCTGAAGCCCCTAACCCTAAAGCCCTCATGTAACCATACACGAATCGGTATTGGGCTCTCTGGCGGGTCAAGCGTTCCATCCGGGATCTGAGAAACAGAACCTCTCAGACAGGCCTATCTATCTTGGCCCATACGGTGGCATGATGACAAGCTGTTTTCTTTTAGATCATTGAACGGTCTGGAAACTCAAGTCCTCGCGCACCGGCGCCAACGCCAGACTTATGTTCAGGACGATGCCTGAGTTGCCGGGTTTAGGGGTGTGCTTGAGGGATTGCGGTGTGGGGTTTAGGGCTTGGGTTCCTTCAAGAGTTTAGGGTTTAGGTTTGAGTGGCTTTAGTGGTAAAGATGTTTACGACGGTTGCGGGTGTGATAGAAACTGTTGCGGTAAAGAGCATTGGCTCAAATCTTACAGGGTTACAAACACCCAGTCAAACTCAGGGCTACATGCTCAGCTACTGAGAAGTGCTACTTGTAGGAACCCGAAGCCCCAAGCACTGGAAACCCTAAATCCGAAACCCTACAGTACCCTTGTAGGGGTTTTCAATGATTCCCAGGATTCCTCTATGGGCCGACCATGGATTCAAAGGAACCCATAGAAGGAACCCTTCTAAGCCGTCTAGCTCAGAAGTTCCCCTAAAGCCCCTAATGGATCCCTTAAAGGAACCCTCAAAGGAACCCTCTATAGATCCCTTAAAGGATCCCTTAAAGGAACCCTCAAAGGAACCCTCTATAGATCCCTTAAAGGATCCCTTAAAGGAACCCTCAAACGAACCCCTAAAGGATCCCTGAAAGGACCCCTTAAAGGAACCCTCAAAGGAACCCTCTATAGATCCCTGAAAGGACCCCTTAAAGGAACCCTCTATAGATCCCTTAAAGGACCCCTAAAAGGAACCCTAAACCCTAAACCCTAAACCCTTAAACCCTAAACCCCCTAAACCCTAAACCCCTTAAAAGGAACCCTAAACCCTAAACCCTAAACCGGAGCGCCGAGAGGCTCCAAAGAAGAGCCGAGAAGACGAGAGCCGCAGCGATGGAGCCGATCCGCTCGTTGACCTAGGGTTTAGGGTTTAGGGTTTAGGGTTTCGGGTTTAGGGTTTAGGGCTTGGGGTTTAGGGTTTAGGTTTTGGGGGCTTTAGGGCTTTAGGGTTTGGGGCTTTGGGGCTTTAGGGGTTTAGGGTTTAGGGTTTTGGGGCTTTAGGGCTTAGGGTTTGGGGGCTTTAGGTTTTGGGGCTTTGGGGCTTTAGGGTTTAGGGGCTTTAGGGCTTAGGGGTTTGGGTTTAGGCTTTAGGGTTTGGGTTTTGGGGGCTTTAGGGCTTTAGGGTTTGGGGTTTTGGGGCTTTAGGGCTTTAGGGTTAAGGAACCTAAGGAATGATATAAGTAATCACTGAGGCTTCTATATTGTAGGGCCTTTACAGTTTCGGGTCGAGGTTTGCGCTTTAGGGGTTGGGTTTAGGGCTTTAGGGGTTTAGGGTTTAGGGTTTTAGGGTTTAGGGATTAGGGTTTAGGGTTTGCTGCTTCAGGGCTTGAGCTTGGGCTTTCGGGCGTGGCCAGTAGTAGTGCTTAAGGTCAGCCAGGTCTTGGGGTTGAGTGTTGGTGTTCGGGAGAAATGTAGGGGCCTTAAAACTAGAATAGGGTTTTGGGGTCCTTTGTACTATATCTACAATAAGGAACCCCCCAAAATAGTATAGGTAAGTCTTTAGGCTTCTATGTTATGGCTCAATGTTTGCCGACAGGGCTTTGGGCTTCGGGCTAGGGCTGGCAACTGGTTGGGTGTCGGGTTTAGGGGCTCCTCTGATATGCTTTCGGCTTTAGGGTGCAAGGCAATGTAGGGGCCTTAATAATTAGAATAGGGTTTTGGGCTCCTTTATAGTATGATTAGAATTAGGAACCTAAGGAATCATATAACTAATTGTTGAGGCTTCTCTAGTAAGCGTTCAGGTTTGGGCCAAGGCTTCCAGGCTGGGGTCATTGGTTTCGAGTTGCGGAGCGGACGCATCATGTTAGATTCTGGTCTGGTCCCGCTACACAGATGTACCTAAACCTCAAAGCCTAAACCTTCAACAAAGCTTTCCCCTTGAAAAATGAATGAGACAAACTAAGCACAACTCCCACATCAAAACCCTGAACCGTAAAACCATAAACCCTAAATCCTAAACCCCCAAACCCAATCCCTGAAGAGTCACAACCACATAATGTAGGGGCCTTAATAATCACAGTAAGGTTTTGGTGTATATTATACTGTAATTGCAATAAGGAATCCCCCAAATAGTATAGGTAATTATTAAGGCCCCTAATGGCCCCTACATTGAGTGAAGAAAGCGCTCCTAAAGTGGGTCCCGAAGTGACCTCCGACCAGCGGTAGACATCCCCCGACTGCAGGGCGAAGGCGTGAAGCCCTGGGTTCTGGAAAAAGCATAATGAGAAACACGTGTAGGGGTTTAGGGGTTTAGGGGCTTAGGGGTTTAGGAGCTTAAGGTTTAGGGTTTAGGGGTTAGGAGCTTTGGGTTTAGGGGCTTAGAAGCTCCGTAAGGACGACACCACCCACAAATGAGTAAAGTATGTAGGGGCCTTAATTTTTAGAATAGGGTTTTAGGGGTTCCTTACTATGATTACGGTATAATATACCCCAAAACCCTATTCTAATTATTAAGGTCCCTACATGGGTAGTTCTCTAAATTAGGGTCCCGTTTAGGGTCCTTTTTATATGGGTGCCGTATTATATTGGGGACTTCAAGAGGGACCCTAATTTAGAGAACTACCCACATACTAGTTTACTATGATTCTTGTATCATGTACCTCAAAACCCTATTCTAATTATTACCCTAAACTTATAAACCCTAAACCCTAAGCCCTAAACCCTTAACCCCTACATTACTACCCTAAACCCTAAACCCTAAACCCCCACATTACTACCCTAAACCCTAAACCCCCACATTACTACCCTAAACCCTAAACCCTAAACCCCCACATTGCTACCCTAAACCCTAAACCCTAAACCCCCACATTACTACCCTAAACCCTAAACCCTAAACCCCCACATTACTAGCGAGCCCAAGGTCTCTTGGTGGGAAAGTCGTCGTAGGTCAGGGCTACCAGCGTCTGGACATCCTTGTCTCCAATGCCTCGGGAAGGGTTTAGGGTTTAGGGGGTAGGGTTTAGGGCTTAGGGTTTAGGGTTTAGGGGTTTGGGTTTAGGGTTTAGGTTTTAGGGTAGTTTAGGTTTTAGGGTTGAGTTTGCATACTTAGGGTTACTGTAGGGGCCTGAATAATTCGAGTAGGGTTTTCGGGTATATTCTACGATAATTATAATAAGGACCCCCCCAAACCACCCCCACCCCCCCCCTCCCCCAAAAAAAATGGTATGGGTAACTATTTAGCCCCCTACATTGCTTGGGGTTATGCTCCTGGGCTCGAGAGTTGCGGAACAAACCTGGAGTTTACGATGACTGCATTATAAGGAAATGGATGCTCTCCTTGCGACGGTTAGTTGAAAGCGAGTTGGGTAGTTCTCTAAATTAGGGTCCCTTTTTGGTTCCCCAATATAGTACGGCACCATTATAAAAAGGACCTTAAAAGGGACCCTAGTTTAGAAAACTGCCCATTTTGCAGTAACATTCTCAACAAAGGCCCAGGTGCAAGCTATGTGGTCCGATCCTGACGTTGTTTCCCCCCAGGTGGACGGCATCTCTGTCATGAGAAACTGCTCAACGTCCATGTATTTCCCCGGTCTCACAAGTTGTGTGAAGTTGAAAAATTCCTCGCTGTGCGTTCCGATATCCTGGGAGCTTCAATAGCTTGAGATTGCAAGCTATAGGATTTTACCGTGCAGTGACTAGGATTGAGGGTTTTGTCATACACAGACTCCGAATAAAATCATGGCGACAAGGACCCCGAAAGAGAGATCTGAAACCCTCCATCCTCCGTCTTGAAGACGTCCCGCACAAAGACGCGGAACTCCTGGCTTTTGCACAGCAAGCTCCTTACTTGTCCATTTAATGGGACTTGAAGCAGGGATCGTAGTACCCCAAAGAGGTTCAAGAAAGCTTACACCCTAAACCCAAACCCTAAAAAACAAAAAAAATCTAAACCCTAAACCCTAAACCCCTAAACCCCTAAACCCCTAAATCCCTAAACCCCTAAACCCCTAAACCCCTAAATCCTAAACCCTCCA